ATAATATATCACTAAAAGCAAGTATAATGTGGGAAATCTAAATGTTAGGAAACTATGAAGGCTTGGAGGTTTAGGAGGGAGTAACTATTGCCCAGCACTGTGTGCTGGGTTAACTAAATAACCGCAGTCTCTGTGTGGTGATTTGGTTATACAGCTGTTTAGGACTAACGGCAGCTTTACTAAAAGATAATTATTAGTAAATATTGTCTCCTACAACATAAGGCAAAGCTTGCAAAATTAAAAAGGCATGAAGACGTTATGACCTTGTAATCTCACTTCTGAGAAACTGTTCTTTGTAAGTGAGAATTGCACAGGAATGCATGCAAACGACATTTTCTATGCATAATTTGTATAGCAACAGAAACAAAATTAAAAAGAATAAAAATAAAAAAAACAGTGACAACTTGAAGTTCCTAATAGTTTGTGAATTAAACTATGATTAAACCGTAGAACAGAATTTCACACAGCTTTTTTTAAAAAACCCAGACCTTTATCCATTAACCCGAGAGTTCCTCCTCCCTGCTACCTCATTATGCAAGCATTACCTGTGGTGAGTCAGAGCTCAGTTTCAATCACCGACAACTTATACGGACCCTCAAAAACAATGGTTTTTAAAGTCCAGTGTGAAGCATAATTATGCACTCCTAGCTATTTTGGGGGCAGGGGTATTGAGGCAGGAAGATCACAAGTTTAAGACCTTTCTGGGCTACAGAGTAAGTTCAAGGCCAACCTTTGCAAGTTACAAGACTGTCTCAAAGAAGTAAAGAGAGGGCTGGAGAATACCTCACTGGTGTGTACGTAGTATGCAAGATGACCTAGCTTCATCCTAGTACCACCTGCAAACAGGGTGTGTGGGTGTGTGGGTGTAAGAATACTGGGTTGTTTATTTTAGCAGAAAATGGAGACCTCTGAGCTTGTCACTGGACAGTGTCATTGTGTAGGTTCCTACACTTTTGCAGCAAGCTGCACTGTAAGTGACCTGCTGGACAGGAGCCTGATAATACACTGTTAGCACCCACCAGCCTCCAATAGTACAGCCTCTGCTCTACTGTTTTCAAGCTGAATGACAAAGCATTCTCCTTGAGGCCCTTTCTCTTGGCAGGCTTTACCGTTAACCGTTGCACCTCCATATTCCCTGGCAGCTTTGCTCCTAGGAGCTGAGCATGGGTTTATTCTGCATAAGCATTTGCTCCTCTGCTTACAAACCAGACATCACCCCACTGTCATCCTGGACCCCTGCCACTTCACGCTCCTTCATCCACATCACATTAGAAATGACAGGGACAGTCCCAGTGCCCTGACCGGCTCTCTGTGGCCTCTTGTGTGCTTTCCATTGTTGGTTATGGTGAGAGGTTACTGAGAATAACCAGGGAAAGCCTCCTGTCAAGCTGCAAACATGACTTAGTGATGCTGCTGCGGTTCATTACTCTCCTGGCAGTGAGTAGACAGTGCTGTTCAAGTTAGTTCAAGCTAATGCGAAACTGATTGCGCCAACCTTGTTGGTGCCTGCATCTGTGTGGATAAGGAGGGAAAGACTGCCCTCTGCTGCCTGAAGGTAAGCTTTACATTTATTTATTTATTTTTCATACCTATACATACATGCCCAGAGTTCAAACTTACCCAGAGTAAATACTGGATATCGAGAGCCAGAGGACAGACTCCCTAAATTAATTAAAGCTCAGTGTTGTTGTAGATACAAGGTGCACTTGGAGAAGTTGAAAACTTCAAAAACTAATCCTTGGGAAACCAGCTTTCCCCCTGGTAAACGACTTCCTATTTCTAAAATCAACATACCTTCAGTCCTTGGGGAATCTGATCTCAACTGCATCTTCTCTTTTTCACTAGACTCATCATCCTTTTGCTTAGTCTGGTCTTCCTGTTAGCCGCGCTGCTGATTCCCTTCCACTGGTCCAGGCGCCTCTACCTTGAACACCTCTATCAGCCCATTCCTTCCACTCTCCACAGTCCTCCCTCAGGAATCTGCAGCCTCCATGCTCCCACCACAGCCAAAGCTCCCTCCTGCAAACGGTGTCTCTGGATAGCAAGTGTTTGGAGTTTTTTCCCTCTTCAGATGGGCAAGGATAACATTCAGTTCGTTTACTGCCTGGACTAGCTCTAATGTTAGAGATCTCACTGCAATGAAGAGCACACAGGATCTTTTTGGTCTTTGGAAAGCAGGGTTAGAAGGGTCTTGTGGAAGCAGAAGTCAGAGCACTGAGGGTCGTGGATACAATACAGGAGAAAAGATAATACTGCTTTGGAGTCTGAGAGCTCAAAGGTGATTGAGATGTTGACATAAAGGGGTTAACTATTGCATCAGGAGCAGATGAAAATATCGATATGTTCTCTGTTTTTAAAAAATGTACTTATTTTATGTATGTGAGTGATCTGTTATGTACACCTGAAGAGAAATCAGATTTCATTACAGATGGTTGTGCACCATCATGTGGTTGCTGGGAATTTGAAATCAGGACCTCTGGAAGAGCAGCCAGTGCTCTTAACCACCTCTCCGGCCCACACTACTTTCTTGCAGGGCTTGAAAGTCCGACTTGTCATAACAGTTGCCCACCACAGGGTATGGTACCCATAGTTGGCAAACAGCAAGTGTCTCAGAGAAGTTTTATTTGCCCGGGCTTATTCACCTGCAAGCCGCAGTGAGAATATCAACCCAAAAATTTGATTCCACAGATCATACCTGTGAGTCTGTATCAGGCCAGGAGTTTTCGCTTTAAAAGTAGGAAGACATCACTCGTGGCTGGAAAGCAGCACCAGCATGAGCTACACTTAAGGAAGTAGCAGAACTGAACACATGGAGTGTGAAGTAGCAGTTAGAAATACAAAGTCCTGAGCTCTCCAGACGCTGGAACACAACCCGAGAAAGACAGATTTGAAGAAAGATGTACTCTTTATTGAGAGCCTTGAACGATACCTGTGAGGATGATCTAGGAGCAGCTGGGAAATCCCCAACAAGAAAGGGCTTCAGTTCTTCCTACTCCGTGGAGTACTTTTCTCACACAGGAATGGTCTAACTCTAGGACTGGAGAAAAGGTTGGATATTTAACCCATAGGTTAAGCAGGACATGCCTGTGAAGTGAGTTTTGGGGAAAAGGTCTGTAAATGACTGGCCATGAAAATCAAGGGTTAGGGACTGAAGAGCCAGGGGCAGGAAGTGCTCAGAGGTGGAACTGAAAGACTAAATTTCTGTGAGATCCAACAGCACATAAAAATAGGAGAGGACGTGCAATCCCGGTAACTAAACATGGTTTCAAAAGGAAGACAGAACAAGGGACAACCTTTGAAGAAACTGGGTATGGAAGCTAGGGATCACTACCAGAGATGTGGCCACAGTAATTTAACTAGTCATTTCTCCCATGCATTCACTCAACCCACTTCCAGACTTAGGTAGTTGAGACAAGTTGATCAGGTGTAGCACATGACATACAAGGCCTGTTTTCTGGATCTCACTGCTGTTCACGTGGGCCTCAAGCTTGTAGGGTCCTCCTGCCCTGCCCAGGAGCTTCGTCTCCACACACACACACACACACACACACACACACACACACACACACACACGTGTCATTGTGCACAGCTGGCCCAAGACCTGTAATCTGTTCACTACATTAACATGAGCTTTTCATTTTCACAGCCAATTCAAGAATGCTGGACACAAGGTAAAACAGCAAGAACAGCAGGGAAAGGGCAAATTCCTTCCCTTCACCAAGTCCCACACACAAGCAGTAACTGTGCAGACTTGACACACCCAGCCTGTTAAAATGCTTCCCACTCTGGTGGGCAAGTGGCCACAACAGGAACCGAATGGATGGGATTATGCTAGGGAGTCACACATGGTGTCTAAACTAATAAACACAACTGTACTATACACTAGAATACTAAAAATTGGTGGCTGCTCTGGTTGATTTCAATAATCAAGTAAATATATTTAAAACCTGAGAACATAGAGAACTGACAATGTATCATTGTCAGTTCCACTAGTAAATATGGATTCTCTTGACAGAGCTAAAGCTGTACCAATAGAGCATACAAAAAAGTGTGATTTCTTAAAGTTCTACATAGGGGCTTTTTTAAAAAAAATAAAATAAAATAAAGTTCCTCACAAGGGTTTTACTTTTATCTACTCGACCAGATTTATCTGAGGGGTGCTTCTCAGCACACAAAGTAAAACAGAAGGAAGTTGATTGTGTAAAAGCAGTCTGACACACCAGACTTGTAACTCAAAGTCACACGTGAAAACAAAAGTGAAGCAGCAAATGCATTGAAAGGCGTATAGAAAGGAACAATTAGTAAAACTATTTACAATATCCAGTACTGACTGGTCTGGGGTGTGGCTCAACAGTAGAGCATGTGCCTAGCATGCTGTAGGCTCTAGGACTCATCCTCATTCCTGAACATCAACTTTTTTTTAAAAATTTAAAACATATTTTAAAAAATCAATGTTAAATTCATAAAAAGGTTTATGAGTGGTTACTTTAAAAATTAATTTATTTACTTTACATCCTGAGTGCAGCCTCCCTTCCCCCCACCACAAGAAAAAAACAAAACAAACAACACACACACACATACATACACCCCTTCTCTCTTCTCCTCAGAGAAGGGGGAGGCCCCCATGGGTACCTACCCGGCCTGGCACATTCCGTTGCTGCAGGACTAGGTGCATCCTCTCCAATGCGAACAGACAAGGCAGCCCAGTTAGGGGGACAGGAGTCAAAGAAAGGCTTCAGTCAGAGAGGTACCCTTCCCAGCCCCTGCTGCTCCAGTTGTTGGGGGATCCACAACCAAGCTGAGCATCTGCTCCATAGGTGCAGGGGTTAGGACCAGTCCAGGCATGCTCTTTGGTTTGTGGTCCAGTCTCTGTGAGACCCTGTGGGCCCAGGTTAGCTGACTCTGGAGGTCTTCCTGTGGAGCCCTTGAGCCCCCCCAGGCACCCTCTAGTCTGAACATCAACTTTTTAATAGACTGAACAAAACAAATCAATAAATGTATCAGAATCCAAAACCTGTTTTATATTTTAAGTTTTGTCAAGAGACAGCAATTAACTACAAGGCTACCAAAGTGTATCTGTTAAGGCACTCAGAAGGGCGGCATATAAAGTTTCAAAAAACAAAACCAAGAATAAAAGTATTACCTCCTTTATTAGAGAATTAATCTATGCAAATTGGTTTCTCCCTGATGTAACCATTGCCAACAAACATGTTGGGGTTACTATAGACCCGACAAGAGGTTGACTTCTGAAAATGACTAGAAAGATCACACAAGAAATTTCTTTCTTGTATCATTCTCCATAAAATGATTTGCTGGTAGAAAAATCTGAAAATTATTTATTATAAGAGATTATCTAACACAGAACAGTCTTTCTTACAGAGCTACATCTTTAAATACACAGCCTTAAAAGTTTGTGTACCTTTAAGTTATTTTAAAGCTGTCCTCTCCAAAAGAAATGAACGTTGTCACTTCAAAAAAAAAAAAAAATTCAGCTCCCATCTCAGTTGGGAATCAGCACTTGTTCTGACCTCCGATGGACACTGAGGCACACAGCCTGACCCAGTCCTTCATATAAAGGCGAGGATAGAGAAGTCTTGATATCTGCAGTAGTAAATCCTGAATTTTAACAGCAGAGTTCAACTTTGGTTCTGTAGGAGTATTTTTAAAAATTTTATTTTTTTAATTGATTGAATTCATACAAAATAACCCTGTTACATTAAAACATCCCCCACGATTTTCCATTGCGAAGACATTCAATCAACAAAACAATTGTAATGGTTCTCTTATTATCCCCCATCTAACGCACTCACTAAGACTTGTCCAGGTCATGAAGGCTGATACATGCAGACTGCAGAACTACGCCTCATTCATTATAAAGCACGTTTCCCAGTGTACAGGTCATGTGACAGCGCCAGCACCACCGGCTGTGTGCCTGTTAAAACTCCTCCTCTGCCTGCTTGCTACGGGCCTGCTTGAGCTGCTGCAGCCGCTCCACTGTCTCCTCGACAGTTCGCTCTCCGTGGACTTTATTGTCTCTGGTGCGGATGTTCACAGTGCCACTGGCTTTCTCTTTTTCACCAACAACTGAAATGTTACACAAAGCTCCGTGAGACTTACGTTGACAGAACCGGAAGCATTTGTCATAATAAGCCTTAAACTTCCCTGTAACTTAAGATACTGAGATGGACAGGGGACTATGTGTATTCAGGCTGAGAAAATATTCTAGTTATTTTTAAAAAAGATTTACTCTAAGTACATAAAACATCCATCCTAAGTCACTTAAGCCAGTGAACTTAATAAAAAGTTATCATATGAAAGCAAATCTGTGTACAGAGACATCAAACTGCCCTTCAGTGGTTTTTGTTCCCCAAACTGCCCTGCTATGCAAACTGAGTGCATTGAATATGCTTATAGGAACCAGCAAGTGAAATCACTGAGCTCAATTCCCAGGACTGCAAAAAGTCAGAAAACCACAAGAGGGCCCGCGGTTGGATGAGAACGCCACCACAGTCAAGTTCACATGCTTGGTTCCCAGTTAGTGGAACTGTCTGAGAAACTTAGAAGATACAGCCTTGTTGGAGGAGGTATGTCACTTGGGGTTGGCTTTAAGCATTCAAAAGCAAACCATCAGGCCCAGTCTCTCTCTCTACTCTGGGGCCTCTGGGTCAGATGTAAACTCTCAGCTATTGCTCCAGTGCCATTCCTGCCTGCCTGCCTGCTGTTCCCTGCCCTGATGGTCGTAGAGTAACCCTCTTAAAAACTGTAACCAAGGCCCTCAGTTAAATGTTTCCTTTTCTAAGTTGCCCTGACCATAGTGTCTCCTCATAGGAGTGACTAAAAACAATAACTAAGACAGGAACTGAGCAGCTTCGTACTAAAATTCATTATGACCAAGTCTCAAGATTTCAGCGGCTTTTCCTATAAGGTCGGGAGCTGTTGCTCTTACCCAGGATGAAGTTATACTGAGCTAACTGTGCATTTCTGATCTTCTTATTCAAGGTACAGCCTGGATCCAGGTCAATGTCAGCCATGAATTTAGCGTCGTGGAATTGTTGCCGTATCTAGCAACAGTTCATCAGAGTTAAAAGAGAATTATAGTTTATTTTGTTACAGACCACAACATATTTCATGAATTTAATTATGCAACCACTAAGAACGAATGCTAATATACATACATGCAGCTGATAACACGAAATTATGACATTGGGTTTACATATTGAAAGCTGATGACCTGACCACATTTTTGGGGCCGAGGATGTCATGCTCAACATGCACAAGTTTGATTCCCAACACGTGAACAAAAAGGGAAATATTTTTTCTCATGACATAAATATTTTAGGAAATCCTCAAAAATCAGAACTCAGAAAATCAAATCCATCAGCTTTTTCAAGAAATAAAACAAAGATAAAGATGCCCTTTACAACTACGTCAAATAATATGAGTGCAGGGAAACTGGCCCGTGTATTAGCCGGCACATAAAACTACCTAACAAGACAAGCAACTGCTTTAATGTTCACTTGTTTCAGGTGTGGTGCTGTACAACTTGGTCACCACCACAGTCTAATAATAGAGACCTTGTTTCAGAGAAAACAACAGAAGAATATAGTACAATTCTGATTATCTAGAATCGCAATCCATTTTGATGTTAACAACACAGTTCACTGATCAACTTTGTTTTATTGAAAAAGTCCACTATTATTAGTGTGTGTATAGTCATGTACACGTATGGCGACCAGAGGACAACTTTCAGGACTTGGTTCTCTCCTTCCACCCTATTTTTAGTAGGATAACTTGTGGGAGTCACTTCTCTCTTCCTACCCTAGGAGTTCCAGGGACTGAACTCAGGTCCAGGCTAGGTGGCAGGCGTCCTTATCTGCAGAGGCTCCTTGCCAGACACTTCTAGAGGGTCTTTCTGGTTTCTGCCGGTCTGCGTCCTCCAGACTACAGAGGCCTATGACCTTGCAGGCAATTCTCCTATACCTTCCCTCTCACTAGGGGAGCGCTGGGATTACCCGTGTGCATTGGGCTTTTTTATGTGCGTTCCAGGGATCAAATTCATCAGGCTGGCTTAGCAAGTACTTTAACTCAATGAGCCATCTTGCCACTACCTATTGCACCCCTACTCTTTTAAAGACAGGGTCTCATATAGTCCAGGCTAGCCTGGAACTCATTAGAAATTGGGGGCTGGCTTCAAACGTGCACACTCCTCCTATCTCACCCAGCTACTGGGATACAGCCTTACTGCCATGCCCAGCCTTCCTCCATGACTGACTGTTAAGCATCTGCAATTCTTTAGTATGGAGCGATCGCTAAAGCAGAACAGATTATTCTGGTCTTTAAGGTGTAAATTCACACAGTTGTTTGCACATCTGCTAGAGAGGCAAGACACTGCCCTGTCCTGCCCGGACAGTAAGATAAAAAAAATTTCAAGATATCGAAGAAATCTGCATTAACAAATTAATAAATCAACAAATATCAGGCACCTCAGCGGTATATGTAATTCTGACGTAATAGTATAGTTTTTTTAAGGCTATGTTTGCTAATTCATTTCTTTATAACACCAATCATTACACAAGTATACCAGAAACACTAAGTGAATACAGGGGTCACAAAGCCATAAGACAAAACAAAATAAACAAACACACACACACACAAACCCCCCCCCCAAAACATTCATGCCTATCAGACATAGAAAAGTTACTTTCTTTGATGTAGTGAGCCCTTGATCTGATAAGAATATATGGCTTATCAATCCAACAGCTTAATAGCACAGTTACTAGGATGGGTGTGGGGTGCATGCTGGTAATCCCAACTATTCATTGGACTAAGACAGGAAGCTGGGTCCAAAGCCACTATGGATGACACAACAAGATCCCCATTGCCAAAAGCTGAATAACAGATTTAGACTGTAAGCCAACTCCCACTTATGGATTACCTTTTGAGCATATTCATCACACGTTGGTCCCACTGGAACCACCATCACTTGGCGAGGAGAGAGCCAGAAAGGCCTAAGAGAGGAATGACAACAGTGAGTGTGACCCTGGGCACATTTATGGAGAAAGGACTCTGTCTAGTTGGCACTGTCTGTCCCTGAAACATCTGAGTTATGTTCTGGCCTTCACAACTTGGCTTTTAATAGAAAAACTATTCAAGTTAAGGAAGTGTGGCCGGGGAGAAGAAAACTAGCCCCAGGTATGTAGGATCTGTGATAAGCTTCAGGCTGCTCAGCGGCCAGCAGCAAAGAAAACTGATAGCCGGAATGAGCCTCACCTCTTGAATTCCTGTATCTCAGGGCTGAAAGCCTTGGTGGCTGGCCTACTGCCTCAGGCATTAAGTATGGGTGGGGCAGGCAATAAATTCCACATTAAACATGGGCTTTTCCCAATTTATCCTGAGTTTGGTTAAAAAATGAGCATGCACAGAATATGTACCAGGGTTCTATTTGATTTTGTGAACTTTAACTGAAACAAGATTATTTCATTGGCAAGTATGAAAAATGCAATATCTGAATTAGGCAAATCCAATTACTGACACTAATATCCTACATTGTTCATATGGAAGGCTGTATGTTGATAACCCCAGGTTATCATTTTAACTGCACTGCAGGTTTGGATGGAGTCATTGAGGACTCTCAACAGGCTCAGCAGGTTTTTACTTCTTTCTCAACTAAAAACTGCTTGGATTCTTAAATATGGCAAGACAGTTGCTTATTCTGACCAGCAAAACTAAACAAATAATTTAAAAACCTAACCAGTCATTCAGGCAAAAAAAAAAAAAAAAAATCACAAGGCCAGGAAAAGCAATCAAAAAGAAATTACATATGGATCTTACTGAATAATAATTATTTACTGTAAAGTTTTACATATTCATTTTTTTTTTTAATTTAAAAAAAATTAGTTTCATGTGAACGAGTGTTGTGTGCAGGTCAAAAGGTGGCTTGGATTCCCTGAAAATGGAGTTAGCATTTAGCCATTTCATGGTGCTAGGAACTGAACCCAGGTCCTTTGCAAGAACAGCCAGTGTGCTAAGTCAACTCTCTAGGCCGTTATGTAATATTTAAACAAATAAAAGTTTTGAAATAAAAAACAATTACTAATAACAAGGGTTCCAGGGTGTTTACGCTGAAGATTAACTTGGAGTCCCACCTGGAACTACCATCCTCCAGCCCCAACAATTAATTCTGATTCCTTTCTGTGAGTACTTGTCATTGATTAGAGGTGATTGATTAGAACCGCCTCCCTTCCATGTTATAAGCATATTTTAGAGTGAGACTTTTCTTCTGGACAAGTTAATCAGACGGGAAAACAAACAGAAGAACCTTACCATTTGCCCCCATAGTTTTCTGTGAGGATGGCAATCATTCTTTCCACTGACCCCAGGATGGCTCGGTGAACAATCACTGGCCTTTTCTTATCATCACCGTCGTGGCTATGGAAGAAAAATTTGTTTTGTCTTACTATAAATATTGTCCTAAGTATAGCCTGAAGGATGCTTAGAGCAGGAATGGAAACTCACCTTACATAAGTAAGATTAAACCTGATGGGTAACTGAAAGTCTAGCTGGATGGTCGCACACTGGTGGTAGCGGCCGATCGCATCTTTTATCTGTATATCAATCTGCAAGGCAAATACTGGGCTCTGATAAGATGCTCTTAACTTTCTTATTTCCCAATTTGAAGTAATGTTTCTTCACCCACAACTAAAATTCACGTTACCCACATATTCCAGGGTACTGACCTTCGGACCATAGAAGGCTCCATCACCAGGATTTAGTTCCCACTTTTCACCAAATTCATTCAAACTGTTTTCAAGTTGCTAGAGACAAAATAGAATCAACTTGAACTTTTGTTCCTCTGCAATGCCCCTCCTTCCCATCTGATTTTGATATAAAGTCTCCTGAGTGTCTTCATGAGTCCTATTGTCTGCTATGAAATTCTGTCTGCCTAAGGGCATCCTCATGAGCCAAAGGCTGCTTTAAACTGACAAAGTACGAAAACGTCCAGTCAACTATGAAGGACTAGAAGACCTTATAGAAAACATTGGCCACTCAACCCCAGAAACACTGCCGTTTCCTTTTGCTTGCATCCACCTGAGAAGACTACTTGGCATTGTGTAAGTTCCCAAGCACACTAAAAAACAGCACTTACTTTTTCGGCTTGGTTCCATATTTCAATATCTCCAAGGAATTTTTCTGGGCGAGTAGAAAGATTCAGTTTAAATGAAAATCCGAAGACATCATACACTGTGCGAAGAAAATCCAAACAACCTTTGATTTCATCCTCAATCTTAAGAAAGAATAAAAAAGTGGTTATTCTCCTTCACTTTTAACACTTCAGTGAGAGTATTTTGCTCCACGGGGCCCTATACCTGCTCCATGGCACAGAATATGTGCGCGTCATCTTGCTGGAATCTTCGGACCCGCGTGAGTCCTGTGAGAGCTCCCGAGAGCTCATTCCTATGAAGCACACCAAAATCAGCTACTCGCAGAGGCAGCTCTCGCCAGGACCTTGGCCGATGATCGAACATAAGGCTGAATGAGAAAGCAAGACAAAACCCACAGGTATCTACGTGAGCAATGGGGAAGGATGTCGCCGCAGTGCTTGCCTAGCACTTATGAGGCCTTCAGTGAATAAGTGACAACAGAAACAGCGATTTAAAAAACAAGAGTAAAACTCTTCCTCAAATATTACATTTAATACCATGAAAGGCCACCAGAAAGCTACTGCTCCTGGTTAGCCACAAGTAACACTTTTTTAAGCCAGAAGCTTCACAGTAGAAGCACCTGCACGAACAGAATGACAAACGAGTTACAATGTAACTAACTGTGGCTAAGAGAGAATAAAGCAATGTCCCCAGGTCTAAGCAAATCCTTGCTCAGCATTTCCATTCATATAAAGGCTAAATCCAATTACTGTGAAGACCCAAATGAAAGGCTCACAATAAAGAAATATTTTTAATGACACACAATTTACTTCTAACACTAGAAACTAGTATCAGAGCTGCTCTAGGTGGCTCAGAGTGTTTCAGAAAGTTAATGCTGTATACAACCCACTTTCTTGAAGGTATTTCCTCTCTGAGCACCTCTGCTTGAATCACCTGCCCACAGAGCTGCTCACATGAATAACCTTATCTATATCCATGTCACTCTTGGACCTCTCAGAAGAACTTTTATCCAAATTTCACAATTTGAGACAGAGGCCAGAGGAAAGGATTTCCCAAGGATATTAACTCTTCAGCATTGGGTTCTGTTAAAATATTTTTTTCCAAGGAAGGAAGAAAAGGTAGGAATATTGGTCTATGGAATTTGCTATGTCCCACATTTAAAGGCTCCTTTCAATACATTCTGCCTGCTTGCTGCTATGACCCCGGGGACCACTCCTGAATGTCTATAAAGGGTGGACTCTAATCAGCATAACAACATGCTGATCACGAAGGTGGATTGTATACAGGATGACAACAATCTTGCATTCAAGTCCTATTCTGATCACTAAGTTTTCTTTAGTAGTTGTTACCGTGTAAACTGGGTTTCCCTATAACACTTTACGCTTAGACAGCATTATGTTTTGTTCTTGTTCATATTCCCTCCAGGCTTCCTCTGAGCACCAGTTTCCCCTTCTGCTTTCTTGGCACAGATATTCCATTACCCCTGTGTTCTCTCCCAGCTGGCTTCCTTCCCTTAGTGTCCTTTCCATACTGATATCATGTATGTGTGTACATGCATGCACATACATGCATGACACACACCTCTCTAAGGGCTAAAGCAATCTAAAGCCATTTTCAGAACAAGGAAATCTTGAATTCAACAATGCAAAGCTGCAGGGCTGGAGAGATGGTTCAAGGGTTAGGAGCTACTCTTCCAGAGGACCTTGGTTCAGTGTCCTAGCACCCACATTGAGCGGCTCACAACTACTTGTAACTCCAGCTCCAACAAACACTCTTATCTGAGCTCTGCAGGCATCCAGACATGTGGCATGTACTCAACAGACACACAGGTAAATTTAATTAAAAGAAAGAAACAAAAACACAAAGCTGCTTGATACCAGTGTCCTGGGCAGTTCATGGGCTTCAGGGCAAACTGCTCCTTCTCCACCTCAAAGGAGAACATGTTCTCACTGTAGTGCTGCCAGTGGCCAGAGGTCATCCAGAGCCGGCTATTGAAGATGTTGGGGGTGACGACCTCCTGAAAGCCTCTTTTCCTGTATTCACTCTGTTAGGGCACAACACACACAGGAACTCAGTGCTCACCTTTGCGAGGGAATACAAACCTACAGAGCAGTTTACGCTGCTTAGTGCAGTCACAGGCACAGCTATCATGACTCAGAAACTCCATGGTAAGTGGTGCACCAAAACTCATGGGGAGAATGCTACCACGGCAGGGCTGCCAGTACAGGAAGACAGGATGTGGACCACTGTGCGCTAATATGTGCATGATCCACCGTGCTGGGAAGTAACACTCCAGAGTAGGCAGGGAGAATATAGTATTTAGCCAGCTAGGAGTATCTGTTATCTAATATGCATACACAAGACCACACATATGAAGTGAAGTACACACAAGCACAAAATATGTTAAAGATTTGTGTGTGAGAGAAAGAGAGGGAGAGAGAGAGAAAGAGGGGGGGAAGAGAAAGAGGGGGGAAGAAAGAGAGAGGAGAGAGAGAGGGAGAGGGGAGAAGAGAGAGAGAGAGAGAGAGAGAGAGAGATGTAAAGCACATGGGTAAGGAGCCATACCAACTTCACAACAGTTCCAAAGGGGTCTTTCTTAAGAAAAACAATGTGTTTTTTTTCCTTTTACAAAAACTATGGACAAATACAACCCAATGCAAATATATTAAATCTGGTGGCAAGAGAGCCCAGCACACGTTATACTGTTTTCTTTAAATATATGCTTCAAATAGTTCATAAAAAAGTGCGAACAGTTCAAGGACTACAACACATTCCCAGGTAAAAGGCTACTGAACCTTCAAGCTCAGCAAGTTCTCTCTCTCTGCATGCTTTCATGAACATGACAAAACCACACATTAGAATGACTCCAAATAATTTATGAGACCATTAACATTTAAAACCATTTATTCATGTGCATGTGGTATTTCTATGTGAATGTGTGCCGCCTGAGTGTGGGTGCCTGTGGGGACCAGAAGAGGGTAGCAGATCCTCTGGAGCTGCAGTTATACAGTACACAGTTATAAGCAGGGCGAATGGATGCTGGACCAAAACCTCAGGTCTTCTGAAGAGCAGCAATAAGTCTTGACCACTGAACCATCTCTCTAGCCTCCACTTTTTAAGAGCTTATTTTTATGTATGTTTGTTTACTGAGTGAACGCTATGTGTACGCAGGTGCTTGCAGAGATCAGTGAAAGGTGTGAGATCCTTTGCAGCTGGAGTTACAGGTGCTTATGAGGCACTTATGTGGCTGCTGGGGAAATGAACTTGGGTCCTCTAGAAGAGCAGGAATCGCTCATAACCAGAGTAAACACTGCAGTCACAAACTTCAACTTTTTCTCCTCAAATACAGATTTATATTTCTTTCAGCACATTCTGATTAATAAAACGATCTTATATCCCAACTCTTCAAAAGACAGTAACAAATAAGGCTTACCCTGATAAATCCCATAAGTGTATTATAAATATAAGCTCCTTTTGGCAGGAAAAAGCAACTTCCAGGGCTGAGTTCATGGAAGAAATAGAGTTCTTGGTCCTGGATAAACAGTAAAACATTGTTTACAAATGTGTAACTGATTGGTGATCCTCAGTTCAGAGTTCTGACATTGTGTTTCAAACTTCAACTATTGAAGAAAAGAAAACATGCCATTGTGTCTTGGGCATGATTTAAAGATGCAGACTTGTAGTTGATTAAAAACTTAGCACAAATCTGTTACCTCCGTAACAGTTTTCAGTCAAGGTTAGCAAACAGTGATATGGAATAAAGTTCCCAAAGCTCTGAGATTTGGGTTTTGTCATCTGTTGTTTTGCTTTTGAATATGAACCACAGGAAGGAGAAAAGGAAAACATGCTGATAATGAAAGACAGGAAAGTGACTGAAAGTCCTTAAGAAACCCACCCACCATTGTCAGCTGCCCCACTGTTGTCATTTTTTCCTAATAGTGAAAGCAGTGGGCAGATCTAGAGGCCAAGGCCCTCTAGAGGTAAAGTTCACTAAAGGAAAATTTTAAAGAAACAAATGTAACTCCAACAAGGGAGGACAGTCACAGGCAACTAGAGATGAAGAAAGATGGGCAGAGTCCACTTGTGACCCGCTCTATCCCCTGAAAAAACAAGCAGACTCATGTCTCAGATTCAGACTTGACAGCGTCACAAGAGCCGGTGAGAAGGGTTTCCAAAGGCAGGTTCTACCAGCTCTGAAATGCTGCTTACAGGAAGCCAGGTCAAGCACACTCAGGAACAGTAACTGAGATGAGCTTGGGATGCTTCAGAAGGAAAGCGTGGACACAACTAGCTTCCAGAGAGCAGTCCTCTTCAAAATGAAACTTAGTGCTGAGCAGGCTCAGCTCAAATGAGCTGAGGAAACTCAGACTAGACACTCCACTATTCCTTAACGTACCCTCCCAATTTTCCTATGATCTCGGTTTTTGGCTTCCTCTTGGAACTTCTCCCACTCTTTCAGTAGTTTGGGGTCAGGGAACGAAATGCCATAAATCCTCTGGAGGGTTTCCATGTCTGCTTTGCCTTCCCAGTATGTGGAGGAATTCTAAAAGCAAGACCAACAATGACACAGAACTTAAATTTGTAAGCATCTCACATATTGTAATAGTGTGTTATTTTTTACAACCACCTTAAAAAGAAAATCCACACTAATTTCTTCCGCAAGGAAACTACATAAAACACAGTCCTAGTAAATGTCTCTCGTAGTTTTGAGTTTACCCCGAGTGGGTAGCCTCATCCACAGCATGGAATTCTCTGCTTCCTTTTCTCCAGAAGGTTCTTCCCCCAGATCACAATCCTATGAACACTATTCCAACTACACGGCTCCTCTCACAAAATGATTACGCAAAATGGACAAAATGGAAAGGAACCCATTAGAACAAGGAAAGGCATTTGGAATTGACTTGATTGTTCTTAGAACTCAGAGAAAACTCTCATAATTACAGCATATCTAAGCAAGCATAAAACCAACTGGATTACATTATAAAAAACTTAATCACTAGCTAAACTCCAACACTGAGTCTCAAGGCTTTTGAAGCTGCAATGGTCTGTAACCGCTGACTTTGTGACTCCTCAAACTTGTCCCCGTATGCTGGCTCTGTTCCTGAGTATTGGGGTACAGAGGACACAGCATTAAAAGCAGAACCTGTGATCCTCTGTACACTGACAAGCAAACAGAATGTAAGAAAGCAGCAAGCAGTGGAAACTGTGGTGTATGTGCTCCACACAAGTCACAGCCAGCCTTACCTTGTGTATTTTTAAAGTCTTAATCTTCCCTGTGTGTCTGACATGAGGACCCCGGCAGAGATCTATCAAAGGGCCACATCTATAGATGAAATAGAAGGAATTTTAACAGAGGCAGACGAACACACCAGTTGCACTCAACAGCATTCAATATTCTCACCTATAGACAGTCGTGGTCGGGGTGTTTACTTTTTCATTCAGTATCCGGCACTTGAACTTGTTGTACTGAAAATGAGAAATGAGACGTCACAGTGGCTTCTCCTGCTTCTCTCTAAATACGCAGCTGGAATGTTAGTCGCAGCTTTCTTTGAACACACCAATATTTCATGTTTTGAAGACAATTCCCTTTTTATGAGGAAATTTTGATACACTCTTCCAGGACTGGCTAGTAAAATCAAAGAGTTTATGGCTCAGTTTACCTTAAACATTTCTAGCAACGTTTCCTTCTTCACTTCCAATCTTTCAAAAGCTTGCTTCTCTTTAATGATTTTCTTACACAAAGTTTCCAGGGAAGAGAAATCATTGCTGGATACACCCCTAAAAGAGAGAGAGAAAAAAAAAAATCATAACTTTTCCATATTCCATTTGAATCAATGCAGGATTTTTCCCCTAATACTTTAAAATAGAGCCTGTATCATATATTAGAATTTAATATTAAACTGTTCATGAATTCTATTGTATTTTCACTAGCTTCTACCTCAACCACTATAAACTTTCTCACAAGCGACATCTGCCCAAGCTTCATCATAACAAAAAGGAAAGGAGAATCTGTTTTATTTCCCAGCATGGCTTTGGGCACACTTCCACCCATCCCAGAGATTTACTATATGTATCTCAATACTTCAAATTCTGTTACTGCCACTAGCAGCTTTATACTGTGAACTATAGCTCCTTTTCCTTCATTGACAATGCTTAAAAAGTAATACACAGACCCAGAGCCACTCAGGTTTTCTCTTCACCCAGTTTCTTAACTTACCCTTCTTCAAGGTACATATCATAATAGAACCCATTTTCTATTGGTGGGCCGTAACACAAGCATCCACCATAGACTCTTTCCATGGCCTCACCCATTATGTGGGCACTGGAATGCCAATATACCTGAAATGTAAAGAAAAATGAAATGGCTTCATATTTTAAAGACACAGATGGGAGTACACCCAAAGCAATCAAGGTTCCAAAATAATAGAGAAAGATGTCACACACAAGTATGGCCTCCAGGTTACACCTGAAAGCCACTGATCCATGTACACTACACAATGAAACAAAATACGTTGTCTCTCCTTATGCAGCTGTGGTCCAGTCTCTACTGTAAGTCTAAGATGCATCACAGAAACTTACTGCCTGTGCTTCCTCATCCTCAAACTTGAGAAGCTCCAAAGTACAGTCTGTCTCCAGAGGGCGGTCCAGGTCCCAAACAACCTTGTTCACTTTAGCAACGACAGTGTTGTCAGCCAGGCCTTGACTGAAAATATAAAAAGAAGATGGTGGTTATTTGGCAAGACTTGATAGTTAGTAAAAATATTATTTTAGAAGAGGATGAAAGAATAATGTAAAAATGAAGGTGTCCACATTTAGCACTTGCTTTTCAAGTGCATCCACGTTATGTACGTATTAAAACATAACACAGGACCCCCAAACCATGGCTATAAATATAAACTTGGTGCGCAGTATTTTTATATATTATAAGTTACTCTATGTCCATGCGAGGCAGACAACAACCCTGCATTGTGAGGGACACATGAACTATACACTGTGTATTCTTAGCTGTTTTGTTTTACTTCAACCACTTAAATGTACGATTTCTGGCTGTCATCATAGTTTGCTGACAACTAGTCTTAGATGCGTGACAACTTTATCCTGATCAGATAAAGTGACCACCTGCGAATCCAATCGAGAGTAAGAAAGCTTGCCCTCTGTCAGGGAATTATGAGTCCAAGTCTCCATTGTTCGTAAGATTTCCCCTTAAGAATATACAGAGTTCTTCAATGGACTTATAAACACACAACATTATTTTCATACATGTCAGCTTTTTTTTACTTTCCCTGTGAGGTAGCCTTCCTTCGCAAAGAAGCTTGAATCTGAGGCACCTAAGTCAAAGCTATTAAGCACTATCCTGCCTCTGCAGTTTTATGATCCTAACAGGTGACTAATAAGTTACTTCCTAAAAGAAAACCAAGATATGCAAGAGCCTTCAGAAATTAGCACGGAGTCTTGACTAAAAACTTCCACTCATCTTGATTTTTCAAAGGTCTCAATTAAGGTAAATATCCTTAGCAAACATAAGACTATTATCAGGAAATACCTGGCAAGACAATAAATGAACATTTAGTTCCATCATGAAGCACAGATGGTCAAAGAAGGTGCAGTACTTACCTAATTCCACATGCAATCTGGTATGGTGTGGTTCTCCAGGACTCCGCATCCACCTGTTTCCCATCGGGCAGAGTGACTTTAATCGGCTTGCTATCTTTTGCTGCCTTTTCAGCCAGGATAGAATCATGTTCTGCCTTTAGCTTATTATACATATCAAGGCGCGTGTTAATATACTCAGGCCAAGGATTCAACTGTAAAAGAACAAATGAAGCAGGAAAAATCAGTTATGCTTGGTTTACTTTCAGAGGAAATAACAATACATAAAACAAAAATCCATGGTGACTAATTCAGATTGCTTCACAGATCACAATAATCACTGGCATTGATCTAGTCCCAATAATAGTTGAACGGCCAATATCTTGAGTTGATACCCAATTACCATTTTGTAATTTATAGTTTGTTACAGTGACTTTTTCCTCTTAGGATGTCCTCCTAAGGTCTCAAGGATGACCTTGAACTCATGTTCTTCTCTTCCTAATACCAAGAGGGCTAGGATTAAAGGAGCATGCAATCATGCCTGGTTTATGTGTTCCTGGGGATGAAAATCAAAGTTTCATGCATGGTCAACAAGCATGCTACCAAAAGAGCTGCATGCCTGGCAGAGTCAGTTAAGATCTTTTCTAACTAAATGAGCTTGTAACTTCAGCTATGAGCAACACTGTGCAGAGAAAAACAAAGTACGCTTTGACTCTCAATCAGGGGCCAGTCTGTGGAGACAGTTGGGTTTATGTCGACTCACAGCCAACCAAAAATTTATTTGACTTAGAGGATCCTACTTAAAAACAAAATAAAACAACAACAACAAAAAAACAAAACAAAAAGAAAAACAAAAAACATGTATCCAATTCAAAGATGCCAAGATCATCTTTCTCAGATTATTTAAATAAAATACCACATGTCACTATTGTCCATATACCTGATACAATTAACCAGAATATTTCATATAAAACACCAGCGAAGATCCCAAAAAGTTTGACAAAGATAAAAAAAAAAAGACAAAACAAAACTGACTTCTTCTATTGCTCAAGCAAGTAGTGAATCTGATAATTGTTATCTCCAAACAATGGCAACATAGATCATTCTTCAACAGGAACCACCCTCTAACCCCACTTTCACCCCCTCCTTAAAAATCTCAAACTCACTACGTAGTCTACTCCAGCCTCGATCCTTCTGCCCCAGCCTTCCGAGAATGAGATTAGAGGTTTGAGGCACCATGCTCTTATAGTAGCATGGTCATTAGCAGCTATAAAGAAGAAATGCTTTGATTTTACTATGACTTTCTATGTGTGTACATATATTGAAATTGTCAGCTATTGCCAGGCCTGACGGCACATGTCTACAATCCCATAAGACTATCACCCTAGTCCATTACTATTGATGAAGAATCAATAAACTGACAATGGCCACAGCCTATCACTGTACAAAGACAAGCTCAACATTAGTCTATCCAATGTGTGTCTGGTTATCCCTTCCCGCCCAACCTTCCATGTCTTACTACAGTCTATTTCTGTATATACTTGGCATTTTCTAAACAGAATAATTTAGTTAAACTCACTCAGTATTAAGTGACCAATGTGTTTCATGCCAGCCTCTCCAAGCGCAGACCACTGGGTAAAATCTACAATTGTCCTTAGACAGTCACCAAGACAAGTGTGCAAATGGTGGGAGCATTGAGAAGGCAAAAGGCAAGCTTAGACACATCACGTCTACTCTTTACTTTGATAGCCAATTTACAACCCGTAATAATCACAGGTCCCACTTAAAATTCTCTACTCAGAGGAGTCACTAGGCTGCTTGTTTCCTATGTCTAGGCAGTGTTTCAAACCATGATAGGGCAATACACACAATTCCAAACAAAGAGTAACAAAGAAATGAAGAGACATGCATATTACTCTTTACCTGCAAATCTTAGGACTCACTATCAACAATTTCTCCCATGATAGGTATAAAATGAACAGGGATTGGCTTAGTCAAAACCATCCTTTATCACTTGTAAAGCCAGCCTTTGTAATCAGTTGTAAGCTTAGCAACTCAGCATTATAAAAACAGAGTTTGTATTTTGCTTTTATAAGATAAGGTCTCACATTGCCGTTGGGCTGGCTTAGAACTCAGCATTCTCCTGCCTCCAGGAGATTAAGGGTGTGCCTCTACTCCACCCTATGTAACCAGCTCTTCATAGTCTACTTATTGAGGCACTTTTAAAAAGCTCCGTCCTTTGTGTTCCTACATCCCAGCAGCTTTCCAAGGTCCCCAATAAAACTGCAATGACTAAATGAAAGAAGCAAAGCAGTTTACGGCAGTTCAAACTCAAACCCAGCAGAACATGCATAACTACCTTGAACACCAGGAACCAAGGGCATTCTGGGATGGCTTTTGAACTACCAGTTCTATGTCATGTGACCCCAGGAACTGAATAATTTTCTAGATACAAGTAAACCAGACCCCAGAAGCAGATCCAAGCCATTAAAAAAGGAATCAGGAACTGGATTCTGTTTGGTCTGGTTGTACTTGTAGGAACCCAGCACTGTGTCTGGGACTCTTTAACGTCTCACTATTAAGAAAACAGAAAGTCAGCATCTCGGCTTGGCAGCCCAGCCACAACTGCAGCCCTTGCTCTACAATTTTCATCTCTCATGCTTCCAGCCAAATCCATCGTAAAGTCATCTTACAACCATACACATGTGCCTTTGCACTGTCGAGTGAGTATCTGCAAATCCCTTTTCCCCTTTCAGGCTCATTTCTTAACTGTTCTCTCTGGTTTTCCAAATAGTGCTACCTTACGGCCTTCAGAACCCTTACACAGGGGCCAGCAGGCCTACCATCTGAGCTCAATCTGCAGCCTGCAGACTGGAGAAAGAATGCCTCCAAGTTGTCCTCTGGCACCCATGTGTGTGCCATGCTATGAATAAACATACACACACACACACACTCTCTCTCTCTCTTTTCTTATGCAGGGCAAGTCTAAGATAGTCCCCTGTTCCTCTCCACCCTTCAAAACCCAAGCCTCTATGGCTTGTATCACCTCTGCTCGACCTCCATCTCCACCTCCATCTTTGTTCTTCTTCTTGCCTCCTTCCTTTCGCTTCTCCTCACTGGCATCCACCTAAAGAAGCAAAAGAGAAGTTCTCATTTCAGCCTAATTTGACATCTTTTCCAAAACTGCAGCTAAGAAAGTTATCAGCTTAAAAAAAAAATTTAAAGGAAAACCTCATTTTCCTTTAATGAGGAAGATTGGAAATTCCATCACTGGTAGAGACAAGTTAAGCAACTTACAATAAAAACAAGCCCTAAAAAAGTAGAGAAGGCCACTTGTCAATGTGCGCAGCCTCAAATTTCATTTACAGCTATTCCTGTAATTCTCCCTTCAGGCTTACTTGGACCTGTGTTAAACATAAACTATGCAACTTATCTGCTAACAGTTATTTCAAGGGGCAAAAGAAAGAATTATCTACCTACCTCTCCATCAGGGAGACTAAAGCATACATATGGACTGGGTGATCACACACATCCCTTCAGTTCTTCTAGGCTGTTTTCTCTCTTGCAAACTGTCATTATGTTCTTTACAACAGCCTTGTTGTGAAGATTATGTGTGAAAGAATTAAAAGGTTTTGGCCTGTGGGGCTGGGGATATAGCTCAGTGACAAAAGACCTTTCATGTTAGATCTATACCAAAATTTAAGATACCTGGTTATTACAGAGGCGTTAATACCACATTTTACATTCAAATAATTTTATCTGGAGTTTTACAAGCTTGACCAGGGGGTGACTATGTTGGCTAACTTCTAGCTTCATCTCAATCTTCAGAAACAGTCAGACTCTGAAGTAACAGAGGTGGGTTTAAAAGTGGGATTAAAGGACAGTAGGGGAGGAAGCAAAGTGGTATCTTTTTTTTTTTTTTTAGAAACAAAAACCATATTAAAATAGAAACAAAATCTGTATATAGCTCCCATTGACCCCCTTAAATCTGTATTAGAATGCATACATAAGCATTTTAGTGACTTGCCCTATGAGGATGGAAACTCCTCTTGCTGAAGACCTTAGCGTTGCTCACCTGGACTGAAACAGCCTCTGTCATATGGCCTCACCTCTTTCCAGGGTTCCTTAAACACCAATGCCTTGTCACTTTTGACAATACAATCCATATACTTAAATCCCTACTTAAAACCCTGCATGTAGAGAACAGTGATATTCCCACGCGCCGTATGTCCGTCTTCTCTTCCAATACAGCTGAGACACAACACAATTCACCCTCTCTATCTGGACAGCCCTGCCCAGCCTGGTTTACCTGACCTCATTATCCCAAATTCAATAGAACAGTGTGACTGTATAAGTTCAGTGCTTCCTCTCTAACTCAATTGAGCTGATCAGAGAATTACGACTTTCCAGTCCTGTACACTTACGCTCTTTGGTGGCCCCAAAGGTAGGAATCGACCTCACTTTAGCCACCTGCGCTGCTCGGCGCAGTGCCAGGACAAATAAATACACAGTACATCTGTTGGCTGTGAAAGTGGGGGTGGGGGCAGGAAATACGAGGAAAACACAACAGTATAAAAATGATTTTGGAGATGTTCCTAAGCAGTGGAAGACAGCCCAAATCAAAGTTTAAAGGGAACGTGTGTGAAGTTATCTAGAACACTTCCAGCACCCAGCCAACAGAAGCTTTAATTTCCAAGCAGCCTGTCAAATGGGGAATCCAGCCTTCACAAGTTACTTATCCTAAAGCAACCAACCTTGGGCAAACTGGATCTGATATCAGGTACTGAGATCTGATCCCAGGTACTGGCTTTTCCTTCCTAACTAGAGCTTTTTGCGCCACACAGTTTTAGGACTTAAAGGCTTCTTCAATGTTCTTACTGCCTATTTTAGGGATAAAAATACAAGTGTGCACGTCCAAACCCCCGTCGTTACTGTCTGGCTCTGAGCAAGACACTCAGTCTCAGGTCACAGATCTTTGGGATCTGTGGGTCCCGGATCACTCCTGACAGGAGAAGTTCCTGACTTACCACCCTGGCTCCCCAGTACTGGCTAGTCCCTGCTACTTTTCACTCCCTCCCGCCGGGCGATGCCGGCTCCCAGGACACATCCGGCCTCCGGGGCCCCACCGCGCCCGCTCACCGGTTTCTCGCCGTCCATCTTCCCCGAAGGGCTGCTAGACTTCTCTTCCGACATGGAAGGACAGCTGAGATTCAAAACCCGAGGGCTACAAGGAACAGAAAAGCCTGGGCCGGCGACGAGCACCAGCAATTCCGCAGTGCGCGTGCGCCACGTGGCCCGGGCGGAACCAGCTGATGCAATGGGACGCCAGGTCCCGCCCACTGCCGGGAAAGACAGGCCAATGGACCACGGGGAGAGGCGGGCTCTCCCTCTCCCCAGCCAATAGAATAGCTAGAGGTGTGACGAGCCCTTCGAGGAAACTCGAGTACTCAGTTTTAGAGTACGAGGTGAAGCGCGCAAGCGCACTCTGTCGCCTGTAGGAGGGCCTTCGCGGCCACCGTAGTAAACGTGAGCGTCGTGGGTAGAGCCTCTCGGAATTATTGAGCAATCTGGATGTGGTGTCTGGCGCTCTGGCTTATCTCAGAGGCACTTTAGCTGGACTGCTGGCTGACTGACGGTGTGAGGCGACGACTGAAGCCTTTCTCATGGGAATGGGACCGGTTTGGTGTTCGTGGGACAAGCACCTTTGGCGCTAACCCTCCTCAGTGCATCATCACGGAGCTTTGCCGTGGAAGGCACACGTATAAAGTTAGCTTTTTATTTGGAGAAAATAACCGCTGGCTCCTCACGAAAGTCGCCTAGTTCTCGGGAGCTCGAGATGAGCGTTCTCTTACTTAAGCATTTGTGTTCTAGTCTGACCGCTTATCTTGATAGCGGCTACTACGTGTTTGTTTGTTTGTTTGTTTTTCCTAAGTAGCCAGGGAATCCTGGCTGATCTGAGAGCCCTCGGCGAGGCATCCAAATTGTGAATTAAAGGCGTTTGCCACCAGGTTCACCTCCATCCAGCTTCCCTTTCTCGTGGGTTTTCTTTGTTTTTGAGACAGGGTCCCACTACGTAGCTCAGCTGTCCCAAAACTCACTATGTAGACCAGAATGGCCTCGACCTCGTAGAAATTCAGTTGCCTGTGACAAATACTTCTTGAATAACGTCTTATTTCCAAGGAACATATCCTCCAACGTATGTTGTAAATTTGTAAAATTCTGGATTTGCCCCTCTTCATTTCCGGCAGCCTACATTTGTCATTTCTGAAGGTACTTGGATGCCACTGACTCTCCGCCACATACTGGTTGTCTCTAAGACAACCAGCCTTCAGGAAAGCCTCTGAATTTATTTTCACTAAACAAATGAAGTAACATGATACTTAATGTTACTTCACCTAGGTCTCAAAAGTCAAAGTTTAGAGTTTTCTCAAATTCAGCACTATCCATATTTAGGCTGAGTAACTGTGTGTGTGGTGGACTATTGTGGGGTTATAAGGTGTTTAAACAATTCTCCAGCTCTGCCCTACGCAGTCAATACTTTCCTTCTCCCAATTTTGATAACCTAATATGTCAATAGCCATTACCAAATGTCTCGCTGGGCCAAAAATCACTTATATTAGTGATTATTAGTTGAGAATATTAGTTTAAAGAATTAACTTTAATTAAAGAATTAAACTAATATTTAAAGAATTAAATATTAGTTTAAAGAATTACCTTCCAGATGTGCAATCTTTGGGCTTCATCAAAGAAAAATGTACTAGAGGTGTTCCTTAAATTATTGACCAGAATGATTGCTGATAAGGGAGGACCCAGATTTCTTTGCATGGGCAGATCATTTTTTTCTTCTAGCAAATCTGTACCCATTCTGTTTCTGAGCACTTACTCATGTACTTAGTGACCTGCGGTTATCAATGAAAACATTTATATTGTCCTGCTTCATATAGAAATACATGAGTGATTTTTTAATCTTTAAAATAATTTTTATTTTATGTGCATTGTTGATTTGCCTGCATGTGTGTCTGTGTGAGAGTGTCAGGTGCCCTGGAATTGGAGTTACAGACATTTGTCAGCTGCCATCTGGGTGCTGGGAATTGAACCCAGGTCCTCTGGAAGAGCAGCCGCCAGTGCTCATTACTGCTAAGCCATCTCTCCAGCCCTGAAATACACCAGTGATTAATACTGACCTAAAACAACTATTTTAAGGAAATAGGAAGATACTTCATTTTGAGTCAAGTGTGAGTGATGGTAGCCCAGAAATGTGGATTCAAGTTAAATCCAATGAAACGTTCCACCATGGAAAAGTTACATGAATTTTAATTTTATTTTGTGCTGGGGATCAGACTCAAGGATATCTGTATGTTAGGCAAGAAAAGAAAATAATGAACAGTCTCTATTACAAGCTGCAAGGATAATCATCAGGTTGTCAGGCTGCAGCAAGGCAGAGGATTTGCAGGATTTAGATGTCTTTATCACGTTCTCACCCTTAGGGTTAGTGAAGAATAATCATCAAACTGAGAGATATATTCCAATAATGTTATCTAAAAATCATAAAGATATTAGGTCAGATGCAAAAAAAATGGCTATTAAACTTAACTAAATATACCCCAAGATAACTTTAGCCTTGACCTGTAAACTTGTGACAGTCTACACAGGCAAGGTCGTATTAAAAGGTAATCTCTTCAGAGGGCTCACTTCACAGTGATGCCTGTATTTGAAATTCCTCTGTATTCATGAGGTTTTTTTTTTTTTTAATTGAAAATAGTTTTCCAAAGGAGCACCATGGGAACCCTGAAGAACATATTTTGATTATGCTTGTCCCTTTCTCAACTCTCACCACCTTCTCTCCGCCCCACCCACCCACCCAAATCCTTTCTTGCTCCTGTTAAGGAATAAAGAGCCATCTTTTAAAAAGAAAGGAAGGAAAGGAAACAAAGAAAAAAAAATAAGATAAAATAAAACAAACAAGCAAAAACAGAGAGCCAAAGAGAAAGTGCAAGAAACACATATAGACACAGAGACACACACGTTGGCATGGCATGCATAGACAGAAAACCCCTAAAGCTCAAAACTGGGAATCACAAAGTGAACCAAAAGAACTATTAGGTAAGAAAAGAGGGGTGGTTGGGAAATGCCCAGTCAAAGTATTTTGAGACCAAACAAGACAAAAACCTCCAACAATACCATTGAGTTCATTTGTGTTCAACATCTATGCTGGATGTTGGACCTGGCCTTAAGAGTAGTTTGTATACCCAGTAACACTTCATCAGAGAAAACTAATTGTTTTTCACTTGTGAGTGGTTATCAATTGGAGATAGCTTCTGTGTTAGGGAAGGGACTTGTATCCACTTCTCCCGTCAACTCTGGGACCACACTGGGCGCTGAGCTGTTCAGACCATGGCCGTGTTGCTGCCATGTAAGTCTGTATGTGTGTCAGCCCTGCTGCACTTAGAAGACCTCGTTTCCTTGGTGCTCTCCCTCCCCTTTGTGCCCCTCCCCTACTCTTCCTGTCTCCTCTCTATGGGGTTCTCTGAGCCATAGAGGCAGGGAATAGATGAAGGCATCCATTTAGGACCAAGTTTCTCACTCTGCACCTTGTCCAACTGTGGATTTCTGTATATATTTCCGTCTAATGCAGAAGAAAGCTTCTCTGATGATGGCTGAGCAGGACACTGATCTGTGATTATAGCAGAATGTTGTTAGGAGACGGTTTGTAGCTATGTAGCAGAGCAACAGTATTTAGTTTGCCCCTAGGTCTCTGGTCTCTTTAGCCTTAGTATTATGGCCATCTGAGCAGTATCAGGGATGGGTTCCGTCTCACACAGTGGGCCTTAAATCCAGATACTGGTTAGTCCCCAAAGCTTTGTGCCACCATTACGCTATTACGCCTTGGGTGCTGCTCGCCACTGTGATCAAGGATTTGTAACTGTGTTGGTATTTACCTTTACCCTTTGCTGGTGTGCAGCATATCTTCCAGTGCCATGAAGAAACGGTCAGTAGGTGAAGCCCTTATGTAGGCACCGGCTGTCCTTCTCCATGTTCAATGAGTTAGGTGGGTGCTAACCTAACCAGCAGGGCCTTATCTTCAGTTTGTGGAGAGAAACAAATAGTCTTGGCAGCAGCCTGAGTTGTTTGCGGTTTCCATGGTGCCCCTTTGGCAAACAATTTGATTAGACATAATCTATTGCAAGTACCAAAAGTGACAAAAGATCTCCCTTGTTATTTAGATCACCTTCATATCTATACATATTTTAGGGAGCTTCTACTGTATTAGTTTTCCACACAGCCCCTCAAACAGACCTTGGTTTTAGCTATTTGTCTTTAAATTTCCCCTCTCACTCCCCTCCCCTCCTCATTTGATTCTCCCATTCCATAGCCTTCCCATCCATAATTGTCTTCTGTAGTTGCTCTTCCCAGGGAAGTCCATCGATACCCCCATTCCCTTACTCTATACCTAATCTCTGTGGTTATATGTGGTTATATAGCCTGTTTATTGAAGACTTAACAGCTAACATCCATATATAAGCAAATACATACATTTGTCTTTTGACGTCTAAGTTACCACACTCAACATGATTTTTTTTCTAGCTTTATCCATTGATCTGCAAATTTCATTATTTTTCTTTCTTTAACAAATGAGTAATATTCATTGTGTAAGTGTACCACATTTTCTTTATGCATTCATCTGTTGATGAACATCTAGGCTCTTTCCAAATTCTGGCTATTATGAATGGAGCAACAGTGAACATGGTTGAGCAAGTGCCTCTGTAGAAGGATGAAAGGTCCTTTGGGTGTATGTCCAAAAGTAGTACAACTGGATCTTGGGATAGATCTATTCCCAGCTTCCTGTGGAACCAACACACTAATTTCTATAGTGACTGTGCAAGTTTGCACTCCTACCAACAATGGATGAGTGTTTCCATCACTCCACATCCTTACCAGCACAAACTGTCATTTTTTAAAAAATTTTCTTGGCCATTCTGTCTGATGTAAGACAAAATTTCAAAATGGTTTTGATTTCCATGTCCCTGATGACCAAGAATGCTGAAACATTTCTTTCAGTGCTTCTCAGGTATTTGTATTTCCTTTTTTGAGAATACTCTGTTTACATCTGTACCCCCTTTTTTAATTGCATCATTTTGTTTTTTACTTGATGCCCAGGTTTATTTTTTACTTCTTTATATATTTTATATATTAGCCCTTTATGAGATGTAGTTAGTGACAGTCTTTTTCCATTCTGTAGCCTGCTGATTTGTCCAAATGATGGTGACTTTTGCCATACAGAAGCTTTTTAGTT